TTATACACTCCCCTTCTATCAATTGTACTGACTTCACCTCACCCACCCAAGTCTTCGTTGGTGTGTATCATCAATAAAGTTCTGTGCTTTGATTGGCAAAAAAGAGACATGGTCCTTGTCCTTGAGCTGACAGTCTGCATGAAGAGAAACACACACACACACACACACACACTCGCGCACACACACACAATGCCAACTAATCAGGGCATTGTCTCCCTGACAAATCATGCTCACCAGTGCTCACAGGAGGCAGAGGCTGAAGTGGGCTGCAGTGCTCAGTAAAAGCTTCAAGAAAGGGCAGGGGGCAGGGCTGAGGGACTGAAGATGAATGTGGAGAGGACAAAGAGACAACACCTGTGAAGCAACCAGCACAGTGCCTGGCACAGAGAAATCCTATGATCAGGGTGCATGTCCTTGCTTCCGTCCTAGACTGCTGGCTTAGAGAGGAAAGTCCGTATCATTGAGGCTTGTCTCCCCATACCAGGGGGGCACACTGCCACCCCTCTGTGTGCTCTTATAGCAACTTGGTTGACATTGGCTGAATGCTATTGGCTGTATGTAGTTCAAGCTCTCCTGCAAAGCAACTGTTAGTTAACCCACTCCCAGCTTCTTCCCTTCCTTGGGGCCCCACACACAAATCCCTGATGGAATGGGAAGCATTGGCCCCTGCTTCTTTGAGGGGAATCCCTTTTCTGTTCTATCCCCATCCATTATGAGATCTAGGGAGGGGACTATGGAGACCTCCATTAACTCTTTTGGATGGTGGTAGGACAGATGCTTAAGGTGCTTGGCATGGCTGGGGCCATGGCCATTGGTTGGTGCTCTTAACGCCCATGGAAGCAGCAGTCAAGAAATCAAATGAAGTATTTCAGTGGGCAAATCTGCAGCAAAGGACCTCTTTAAGATCTAAAAACAAAAAAATAAAAAAGCAGAGATGCCACTTTGAAAATTTATGTGTACCTGACCTTAGCCGTGATATTTTCAATTTCTTCATGTAAGTAAGAAAGCTGGACAATGAAAAAGGAAGACTGAAGAATTGACACATTTGGATTGTGATGTGGAATATATCAGATATACCATGGACTGCCAGAAGAGCAAATCTGTCTTGGAAAAAGTACAGCCAAGATGCTCCTTAGGAGTGAGGATAGAAAGACTCCATCTCACGTACTTGGGACAGGTTATCAGGAGGGACTAGTCCCTGGAGAAGGACCTCATGTTAGGTAATACAGAGGATCAGTGAAAAAGAGAAAAACCCTCAACAAGATAGATTGACACTGTGGCTGCAGGAATGGGCTCAGACCTAACTACTATTGTGAGATTGGCACAGGACATGGTAAAGTTAGACATATGAGTCAGAGCCAACTCAACAGCACCTAACAACTACAGCATGGTTGTGCCTTGTCCTTATTCCTCCATCTGGGAGACACTTTCATACCTTCCATCCAAGTTCCCAGCACCCCTGCAAGGAAAGGGAGAGCCTGTGGACACCAAACCCTTCCATGGGTCTGCACAGTTCATTCTACATCCCTCCCTAACATTTTTATTAGTGTAGTGCCTAAGGCAATTGACTGCTAACCAGAAGGCTGGCGGTTCAAACCCACCAGCCACTCCTCAGAAGGAAGATGGGGCAATCTACTTCTATAGTGATACTGCCTCAGAAACCCAAGGAGGGGTTGCTATGAGTCGGGTTCAACTCAACGGCACATAACAACAACAGCCTAGTCTCTGCATCACCAAAGCCAGGTAACCTGGGAGCTTTTTACATATCTAGAAATGGTCCTCTTCTTCAAACCCACAGAAAACCCATTAAACATTTCTACTTCCCCTGGGCCAGACATTGGCAGTGCTGCTTCTGTGCCTGGTACCCTCTGCTGACCTCCCAGGGATGCTGCTTGGGACCTCCATGTTCTGGGCAGCAGTGACCTGTACAGAACTCTGCCTTCTGACTGCTCTCCTCCACATAAAGCCTGGTTCTCTTTCATCTTTTCCCCCAGGGTTTGGGTTCCAGGTTTGTTATACTTTCCTCCTTGTACTCATCTACCCCACACTTCCAGCTGCCAGGCCTCCAGACCATTTCTGGGGAATCTTCCAACTGGGAATGAAGACTCTTCCTCTTCCCAGGCCCTGGCACCTTGTAAGGTCAGTTTGTGACTTGGGGTTGCTGTAACAGATACATACTTGTGCACCAATGTTAATTGAAGCACTATTTACAGTAGCCAAAAGGTGGAAACAAATATCCATCAACAGATGAATGGGTAAACAAAATGAGGTATATCCATAGGATGGAATTTTTATTCAGCCAGAGAAATGAAGTACTGATACATGCTACAATGTGGATGAACCTTGAAAACATCATGTTCAATGAGATAAGCCAGTCACTAAAGGATAAATATGTGATCCCACTTATATGAAATATTTAGAATAGGTAAATGTATAGAGACTGGAGTTTATTCATGGCTACCAGGGGCAGGTGGGAGGGGGTAAGGAAGGAGTTATTTCTTCAGAGGCGCTGACATAGGGGGCAGAAAACTTTGAAAACTGGTGCATGTTTCACAACATGGTACACATGGTAACGTCACTGACTTTTACTAGTGAAAATGGTTGATTGGCAAATATTTTGTTATATATATTTTACAACAAAACAATAGAAAAATGTTGAACAAACTTAAAATCAACAACTGTCCTAAGATCCATCAGTATATTGAGTCTACAGGGTAAATCAACACACTCGAATGTGGAGAGACAGGCAAATACACAGAATCACAGCAAAGATCAGCTTACCTGAATCAGAGGCTACTGTAGCCAGTAACTAAAGAGCTCTAGTGGCACAGTGAAGAAAGCATTCAGTTGCTAACCAGAAGATCAGCTGTTCAAATTTACCAGCCACTCTACCGGAGAAAAATAGGGCAGTCAGCTTCTATAAAAATTTACAGCCTTAGAAATTCTATGAGGCACTTCTACTCTGTCCTTACATGGTTTCTATGAGTCAACGCAATGGCAATGGGTTTGTTTTTTGGGCAAAGGCTAATGCTGTTGAGCGTCTTTTCATGTGCTTGTTGGCCATTTGAATATCCTCTTTGGTGAACTGTCTGAGTCCTTTGCCCAATTTTTGATTGGGTTATTTGTCTTTTTGTTGTTGTTGTTATTAACAAGTTTTACATATATTTTGGATATTAGGCCCTTATCTCATACATAGTTACTGAAAATTTTCTCCCAATCTGTAAATGATCTTTTCACTTTGTTGATAAATGCGTTGATATACAAAAGTATTTAATTTTTATGAAGTCCCATCTATTTTGTCTCTTACTACTTGAGTTTTTGTTATCCTATCTGATAATCTGTCCTTAAACACTGAGTCCCACAGTCTCACTCCTATATTTTCTTTTAAGAATTTTATGGTTTTTGTTTTCACGTTTAGGTCCTTGAACCATTTCTAATTGGTTTTTGTGCATAGTGTGAAACATGGACGCTGATTCATTCTACTTCATATGGAAACTCAGTTTTCCCAGCATGATTTATTAAAGATAATTTCCCTTTCCTATTGACTAGACTTTTCACACTTGTCAAAAATCAATTAACCAGGGATATATGGATTTAGTTTTAGATTTTCATTTCTATTCCATTGGTGTGTGTGTTTATTGTTCTTGTTGTTACATGCCGTCGAGTCAGCCTTGACTCATAGCAACCCCTCCTTGGGTTTCTGAGGCAGTATCACTACGGAAGTAGATTGCCCAA